AAGATCATAATGAGCAACAAGTGCCATGATTGTTCTGAAAGAGTCTTTCGATGAAACCGGAGAGAAAGTCTCTGTATAATCAATGCCTTCCTTTTGAGTATAGCCTTTAGCCACAAGACGTGCCTTATACCTATCCACATTACCATTTGCATCCCACTTGGTTTTAAAAATCCATTTACAACCAATTGGTTTTGTACCTTCTGGCAATGGGACAAGTTCCCAAACCTTATTGTCTTGCATAGACTTGTACTCTTCATTCATGGCATCAATCCACTGTTGAGAGTTGGAACTTTTCATGGCCTGAGAGAAGTTGATAGGATCATCTTCCAACATTTCACTACTTTCCTCATGCTCTTGAAGAAATACAATATAATCATCCGAAATAGCATTTCTCCTTTCTCTCGTGGATCTCCTTAATGGCACTGGTTCTTGAGGTTATTGAGTTTGTTCTTCTGGAATAGGAAGTTGTTCAACATTGTCATCTTGAGGTTCCGGATTTACTTCTTGAGCAACAACAGGTATAGGAACCTGAATATTATCAAAAGTAACTGTATGGATTGGATCTGAAGCCAATTCCTCCTCAAAACTAATGTCTCTAACCTTATTTCTCCCTCCAAACTCAACATCCTCAAAGAATGTTGTTGTTCCCGTCTCAAAAATATTCCTTAGTGTGGGATCATAAAACTTATAGCCCCTAGAGCGTTCAGAGTACCCAATAAAGTAGCTGCTAACTGTTTTGGAGTCTAATTTTTTTTTTATTTGGCCTATAAGGACTTGCCTCAGCTAGACATCCCCAAATATGTATATGCTTTAAACTGGGCTTTCGACCAGTCCAAAGCTCATAAGGTGTTTTAGCAACTGTTTTACTTGGCACTCTATTTAGAATGTAAGCTGCTGTCTTAAGTGCTTCTTCCCAGAGTGACTCTGTTAAAGAAGAATGAGAGATCATACTTCTTACCATATCTTTAAGAGTCATGTTTCGTCTTTCAGCTACACCATTCAAGCTAGGTGAACCCGGCATGGTATACTGTGGGACGATACGTCATTCCTCTAGGTATCTAGCAAATGGTCCTGGACGTTATTCGCCTGAACCATCATATCTGCCGTAGTACTCACCACCACGATCAGATCTAATGATTTTAATTCTTCTGTTGAGTTGATTCTCAACTTCAGCTTTATAGGCTTTGAACATGTCCAGAGACTCAGATTTTTCATGAATAAGATATAGGTACCCATAACGTGAGTAATCGTCTATGAATGATATAAAATATTGTTGACCATTCCAGGATTCTGTAGGGAATGGCCCACAAATATCCGTATGTATCAATTCTAAGACATCCAAAGATCTGTTGGCACCTAATCTCTTAACTTTGGTCTGTTTTTCCTTGATATATTCAACACATACGTCAAAGTCCGAAAAATCAAGGGAATCCAAAATACCATCAGACACAAGACGCTCAACTCTACCTTTTGAGATATGACCCAAGCGCTTATGCCATAATGTTACTGAATTTTTCTTATTTAATTTACGCTTAGTACCACGTGATTCCACATGCAATGATTCATTATAAGAAGCAATTGTATAAAGCAAATATAGGTTGTCATAAGTACTAAAGTAACCGGTTCCCACAACATTTGAATTAAAAGATAAACTGAATTGACTGTTTCCAAATGAACAGGAATAACCTGATTTGTCCAATACAGAAACAGAAATTAAATTTTATCTAAAATACGGTACTACAAAAGTATCTTTCAAATCTAAATAAGAACCAGTTCCTAACAACAACCTAAAGTGCCCAATTATATCCATATCTACCGATTGTCTGTCGCCCACAAAGATGTGTCTTTCGACATCACTTGGCTTTCGGTAGCTCAGGCAACCCTGCATAGAAACACTTATGTGAGTAGTAGTACCAGAGTCTAACCACCAAGTGTTTCTAGGTACTGAAGCTAAATTAACCTCAGAACAGATCAAAGTAAGGAATGTACCCTTAGTAGCACGCCAGGCGTGATATTTTGTACAATCCTTCTTTACGTGTCCAGGTTTATTATAGAAGAAACAACCATGATTATCCTTATGTTGTTTCTTCTGAACTGGACCCTTAGCAGCTTCATTATCATTCTTCCTTTTCTTGCCCTTATCCTTAGAGGCATAGGTCAAATGAGCACTTTCTGTCTTATCTTGCTTCAATCTGTCTTCTTCTTGCACACAGTATGAAATGAGCTCATTTAAAGTCCATTTCTCCTTTTGACAGTTATAACTGACCTTAAAGTGATTAAACTGTGCAGGAAGAGACAACAAAACCAGATACACCAATAACTCATCACAAAGATCGAGTTTAAGTGCCTTAAGCTTTGAAGCAATATGAGACATTTCCATAGTGTACTCCCTGATATTTCCTTTGCCCTTATACTTCATTGAAATCAAGCGAGCTAAGAGCGTGCTTGTTTCTACCTTATCGTTTTTCGCAAAACGCTTCTCAATTTCGGCAAGGAAATCTTTAGCCTTAGTAATCCCTTCGGATTCTATGCCCCTGAAGGCTTCCGGAACGCCGCGCTTAATGATCATAAGACTCATGCGATTTGAACGCTCCCACTTCTCATATTCCTTCTTTGTATCAGGAGTTCTATCCGCATTGAGAGGTTGGGGTTGTTCAATTCTTAATGCAAGGTCTAGATCCATGCAGCCAAGAACAATTAATATGTTCTCTTTCCAAACCTTAAAGTTTGTCCCATTTAGCATGGGAATTGAGTTGATGTTAGCAGAAATTGTTACAGCAGATTCATTAGCTAAAATAAAACAAAAATGCTCACATCAATAACCATAATTAGTAATCAATAAAATTCAAATAATGACGAATCTCATCCAAGATATCTGGCACAATATTAATATCAAGTCTTTGGACAATAATATTAACTTATAAGTGATACCTTGTTGCAATGATCAAACATTGATAATAACTCATGTTAAATAATGAAACTATCTTTGGATCGATTCATTATTCACATGTAAAACTTATAATTATCACACGCTTATCATCACAGATGTGTATACAGTCTAAATAAATATTAACCTTCCTTTGGGCCAATTAAATATTTATACGAAAGCATACACACAAACATATCATATTCCTCATGAACAATCTACACAAGAGAGGTTACTTTGGCAACTTCTTGTTTCAATTAATCAATTGGAGTGAGAGACAACATTAATACCTTAGTGTCATAATATTTAAATTAAATAATTAATTAAAAGCCAAATTAAATTAATTTAAATTTTCATAGCTTAAATAGAGCTCATAACTTAATTGAATAAATTAAGTATACCAAAGTGGACCCATAATTTAATATGAGAAGCCAAGGCTTAACCATAGTGAACACGAAGTTCGCTTGACTTCGAACGCGAGGTTCGTATGTATTGAGTACGAGACTCACCTAAGCACGAACGCGAGGTTCGTCTGAAAATGAACGTGATGTTCAACTTGAGAACGAACGCGAGGTTCGTTTGAAAAATGAACGTGATGTTCAACTGAAAAATGAACGCGAAGTTCGACTGAAAAATGAACGCGAAGTTCGACTAAAAACGAACGCGAAGTTTGACTGAAAACGAACGCGAAGTTCGACTAAAAACGAACACAGGGTTCAACTTGAGAACGAACGCGAGGTTCGTTTGAATCGAGCGCAAGGCTCGTCTGAGAACGAACGCGAGGTTCGACTTAAATTGAGCGTGAGGCTCACCTGAGAACTGAGCGCGAGGCTCACCTTAGAACGAACGCGAAGTTCGTTTAAATTGAGCGCGAGGATCACCTTAGAACTGAGCGCGAGGCTCACCTTAGAACGAACGTGAAGTTCGTTTAAATTGAGCGCGAGGCTCACCTTAGAACTGAGCGCGAGGCTCACCTTAGAACGAACGCAAAGTTCGTTTGAATTGAGCGCAAGGCTCACCTTAGAACTGAGCGCGAGGCTCACCTTAGAACGAACGCAAAGTTCGTTTGAAACTTTCAGCTTCGCCAAAAAATTGAGGTAACCACTTCCTTAATTCCTGCACGTTTTCATGCACGAACCCTTAGAGAGTTTAATCTGAAACCGCCGTCGCCATTGTTCCCGCACCCAAAGGTCGAAACCCTAGGGTTTCCTAACGCCGTCGTCGCCGTCAGAGTCGAGAGCGAGGCCGCCAGCGACACTTCGCCGGCGAGGAGCACGAGAACCGACGACCAAACAAACAAGAGATACAAAAAATTTCTCGATTTTATTTCAAAATCAGATCCAGAATCGAAAAAATAAGTTTTCTTGATCCAGATCCAAGATAAGAAAAATCCAAAAAATAAAAAACTTTACTGTTCATCCGAAAAAATACGTTACTGTTCACCCGAAAAAATACGTTACTGTTCACCCGAAAAAAATGCGTTACTGTTCATCTGGAAAAAAATTCAGCAGCCGTTACTGTTCATCCGTGAACAAAACTGAATCCAAAACAATTAAGATCAAAAACCCTAATTTTAATATTAATCTCTTAGAACAAATCGAGGTGGCTCTGATACCACTTGGTAGATCTTATAAAAACTTGAGATCTAAACCATAAAATCATGATTAATTCAAAGAGATTTACAAGAATCAAAAGAAAAGAGTGGAAGCTTATACTTGAATCCATAGATTAAACTTGAGATGGGTTTTGGATCTTCTAACTTTAGGGTTTCTCTAGCTAAATTTCTCTGTAGATGGGGGTGAAGAAAATTAGAGAATGTTACGTTAGATTAGGGACCATAACCCCTTATTTATAGATGTTGTACATTTACAATTTGGCCCCTCATCAAATCATAATTACAACCTAGTATATGCACATATAACCCCATGATTATATTTAAATACCCATTAACCCAAATTGATCAATCACTTTAGTGGGTTATCCTGAATGATAGCAATACATACAGATTAATCATATGCGCCCACAAATAGATTTAATTAGATTTAAATCCAACATCATACTAGCTCCTTCATCATATGTAATAGATAATTTAATTGAGAATGTGGCCACATCTTTTTACAGCAAAGTCGCTTACAAATTAATCTGACCTTAGAGAGTCATGAGAAAAGGCACTTACACTCTAGTATAAATTCATCAATACTATGTCTTTCTTGTTATACAGTAAGTATCAGGCTGCTGATGGTGCAGAAATGTATGTGACTTTCGGTTCGAACATGGTAGCCATCATCGAAGAATGCATCTTCATAAAGTTTGACTCTCCCTCGTGAGATTCATGATCAATGTTTGCCATGAAATCGAGCGACTCGTCGTTGTAGATATCCCACCATTTTGCGACAAGCATCTTGATATCGTCCCTGTCCATGTTCACCTCTTTGCCAGTGTACCTCCATGGTTTTGATCCCTATATTGATTTACAAAAAAAGAGGTACGAATGAAAAAAAAATTACTATTAATTATAGCTAGATTACTATTGACACACGATTAGAGGAGTGAAATTACTCACCGCTGCACAGTAGTGAACGACTTTAACTTTGTCGAGCTCAACGTTCTCCGGGTGGCGCCAAAGCATGGCTAGGACCAAGTTGTAAACTAGAGGGATTGGCTTGTAGATTTTCTCAAAGAACATGTTCAAGAAATCCTGCAAAAATTAAAGCCCAGAAAATAAGATGTGCGATTATTTGGTAGACTGGGTTTCGTCGGCTTGTTTGAGGCCTTTGAAGTAGAAAAACAATGAGGCCCATAATACTGGGTATTAATGTATTCACAACAAGGTTTGGAAAGGCCTGCTATCAGAGAGAGCCCATTCACAGGGGCAGAAAATAGTCGACTGTTCCAAAACTCATACACTATCTTCTACCCACCTCTTCCGAGAACCGCCTTAGATGGGAGAAGCGCTAGCTGGCACTCCTCCCTTAGACAGAGAGATCCCAAATTCGAAGTGTTTAAAATTTCTTTACCTAGATAATCAAGGAACCATCAATTTCTTTCTTAATTTCTAGGCTTACACGAACATAGATCCTGCTTGAACCCTCATAGAAAGAAGAAATTGTTTTTTGACGAATAGCTGCGTAAAAGCGTGTTCAAAAGTGCTATAATATACACTATAGGAGCCTATATATGTGCAGCTATATCTATCCGTGCGCGCATACGCGCACATAGATATAAGGGTATGCTCGGCACCACACATCAAATTTGAGGTGTGGTAGTGAGATGGTCACTTCTTATCCACTCATTCAGTTATCCAACTCATGCACACCACTGTGAATGTAGTCCCTCATTTCAAATAAGTAGATGAGAATGAGTCACCTCACTATCAAGTATCAATTTTGTGCTTAGTATCAAGCATACTCATATATGTGTGTGTGCATGAGAATTAATGTATATCCTTATCATATAAGGTGGTTCCGTCGTATAATAATAATGTAACACAATATCCACCAAGTAAATAGAAGAAGAAATTCGATACCTATGAGAGTATATCAAAATTTCTCCTCCTTTATCTGTATAAATTCCATTACTATTTTCTCTCTTGCATGGTGGTGAATTTATTGGTCATCTTGCCCTGGTTAATTACTTGGACGTCGTCATTTCAAGATTTATAAACTTATACTCAACATGCATAGAAATTCGATAATTATAAACTTATACTCAACATGCATAGTAATTTACGCAGGACTGAAGTGTTACGGGCTTGCAAGTTCGTTGATTGGTATATATATACCTGCTCAGCAAACGGGGTAGGGGGAGTGATCTTCAGAGTCTCGAGGAGGGAAGCACAAGTTAATCCACTGGGCTCAAACACGAACATCCCTGCATTAAAATAGAGGGGAGGAGGAGATCCCATGTCCGCAGGCCAAGCAACCTTCTCGGGACATTGTTGACAGTATCCGACGGAGTACTGGCGAGAGTGGCTCCATGTTTTCTCACAGAAGCAGTCCATCACTGCGTAGAAGTGTCCATCGGGTGTGTCGAAGAGGTGATCTATGTTCTCATATACTTGGATGTCGGCGTCCAAATATATCATCTTGTTGTACTCTTCAAACTGAAAATAAGCATAGTAAACCATGATCAACGATGATGAGATGCTGTGACTGGTTTTTTCTTTAAGAGATACTAATTCTATGTCCCTACATATTTTCATATATATGACTGTTGTTTTAGTTATGTTGATGACGCACTAGTCTGTCTAAACCAGAACTGAAGTGATACTGAATATCAAACAAACATTAACAAAATTAGTTTCTTTATTTTTTTAAGACAATAATTTCGGTTTTTAGACATCGACATCAGATTTAGAAAGTGTTTGGATTTCAATGGGGTTAAGGGAAGTTAAGGGAAACTAGGTGAGAGAAGAGAAGAGAAGTGAAGAGAAGGGAAGGGAAGGGAGTCCCATTCCCCTTGGTTACACCCGCATTTGGGGTAATAAATTTTATACTATTAATGGATGAACTAAGGGGAACTAGGGTGAATAACTTCACCTCCTAAATGTTCCCAAACAAGGTGAATGCATGATTCCCCTAACTTCCCTTCTCCCTTATTCCCCTTAGTCCAAACAAGCCCTTAAGGCTTTCTCTTGAGAAACACCTTTAAATAGGGTCATTTTACAAAAGCCACCTTTTATTTTTAATTTATATGTAAGCCACTTTTAAAGTGGGTTTTTTTCCAATCAACCAACTCCTAGTCACATTTTTACTAAATAACCTTTAATAGTGCGCATTTAATGAAGTCCGAGCCAGGAAATGCGTCATCAGGTTTATTATTCTTAAAAATCTTCCTTTCTAAATTAGTAAAAGATGATGAATTTAAAGATATGTTTACAGATGGTTTTTATCCCATATTTAAAAAAAATTCTCGTCAAACTTATCAATGTGATATTTTAAAATATTATCAGGAGGAACAAGCAAAAATATTTTTTTATTTTTAAAGTTTAAACTGTAAATTTTCTTTAACTTCTGATATTTGGATATCTAGAGCAAAAACTAGTTATTTATGTATCACAGCACACTAGATTAATGATAATTAGCAAAGGTTTAAAAGAGTTATTTCTTTTATTGTATTTGAAGAGTCGCATACTGGTATTAATATTACAAATTTAATAATTGAAGAACTTATAAAATTCAAAATTTTAGAAATAATATTTTCTCTTTCACTAAATAATGTAAGTAATAATAATGTAGCTATTGATTATATCAAAACATCTATGTTATTGCCATGTCATTGTGATATTTTTCATATTAGATGTGTGTGCCATATAATAAATTTAATTGTTCAAAGTGCATTTAGTAAATTAAATCTATGGTAGAAAAGGTTAAGACAGTAGTTTATGCTCATAATGCTTCTGAACAAAGAATTAAAAAATGGAAATAATTCTGTAAAAGAAAAATTTTAAACCCAGACTAATTTTAAAAGATGTTGATCATAGATGGAATTCTACCTATGCAATGTTAAATGTAGCAATAGAATATAAAGAAATTATAAATAATTTTAGTGCTTTCTATACTTCTAGTTCTAGCTCTGGTAGCATGTATGGAATAACTAAGGATGAATAGATAGTTATAAATAGTGTAAAAGAGATGTTACAAGTTTCTTATAATGCTACTATATTATTATCTGGTTATTATTATCCAACCTTTACTATAGTTGTATTACAAATTTTAAATATTAAAAAACTTTTTAATAAATATCGTATGGATAATTATTTTGGAAGTATGATTTTTTAAATGGAAAGTAAATTTAATAAGTATTTTAGGTCTATTCCTATTAATATTTTGGTTTGGGGGTTCTTATTGATCCATGTTTGAAGGATATTAGTCTTCGAAGCTTGTTACATTCTTTATATGGTAACATGGTAATAGATACGAATGATGGTTAAACTGTTACTGCTATTACTCATCATAATACTATTAGAAATTATTTTCAAAGATTATATGATGAGTATGTAGCTAAATATGGTGTAAGTACACATCAGTCTATAGTTTCTGCTTCTACGAGTTTAAGTCGGGGAAAAAGTATGAGTTTTGATAGGGAATCAATAGTAGTTGAGCTAACTGGTGGATCAGGACTTGGATCATCAACGGAGGTTTCTGAAATTGATCAATATTTAACTACATCTTTAGTTTAATGTTAAAATAATATTTTAGATATTTTGTAATGGTGAAAAGTATATGGAACAGTTTCATATCCTATACTTTCCATCATGGCTCGTGACTTACTAACTGTGCAGGTTTTCACGGTAGCTTCGGAATCCACTTTCAGCACAGTAGGACGTTTGATCGACGATCACAGGACATCATTAGATCCGTATACCGTACAGGCGGTAATGTGCCTACAAGATTGGTGGAGGTACGAGAAGAGAATGCAACGCATCGATCGGATGGCTGATATTGAAGATAAATTTGAAGAGTTTGGACTAGCAGATAGATATAAAGATTAGACATTATTCATCAATTTGTAATTTGTATTATTTAGCTAAAAATTTATGATAAATTATTTTGGAAACAGTTGTAAATGATAGTGATATATAGATGAGTATGTGCCAACCTAGTTGGGATGTATTCATCTATTGTGATGCGACGAATTCTAAAATAAATTTATAATTGTAGATGATTAACTGATTATTAATAAATAAGTTATTTTTATTATTTTAATTTTTATAATATTTTATATTTGTAAATTATGTAATTACAAGTGATTAATAATATGATCGTTTTATCAAAATTTTGTTTAATTTTTTGCTATGTATTCTTGAAAAATTAAAGAATTAAAAAAATTTTAAAAAAACCAAAAAAACCGGGCATGCTCGGTGCCCGGCCCGCTCAGGCCCGGGTCCGGGCCCCGGTTCTTCCCGGCCCAAACCCGATTTTTCGGGCTGGGACGGCCCGTTTGGACAGCCCTAGTCCCAAAACATTGCATACTGTTCCATTTCAATAAAAGGATTTTTTTTAATTTCCAGGGCTAAGAAGTAATTTTTTTTTTCTTATGCATGCTTGCCAGTGACAGCTTAGAGTTAATGGTGCTCGTATGTGGATTAAAAGATAAACTTTCAAGTAAGATTTGATGAAATAAAACTGTTCATTTGGGTTATGTACAATAACTCATAAAGTTTTGGGGGGTTTAGTCTAAGAAAAAGAAGTTGATGGGGGTTTGCTGCTACTTCTGAAAAGTTCATGGGGTTTTTCATGATTAATCTTTGTTTAAATTTATTAAGGAATAGTAAGTGAACCTTGGTTTATAGTTTCTTGAATCTATCCAATATTTCTCATTCTCATTCACTCTTAGCTGATCGAAGGGATATTTTAAAACACTATGAACGGGTCATATAAAGAGAAATTGTACATAAGCTAAGATGAATTAATGCTTGGCATATGTATGTAAGGTGAAATATGTTATTCCTCTCCGTATATAATATATGCAACAACTAAAAGAGGTTAGTCACTTACTATTTTAAGATGAATTAATGCTTCTATAAATATACTTACGTTCCATATGCGGAGCTTAGAGTAGTTGATAACGTAATAAGCCATGGCAAACTGTATCTGATTCTCCGGCGGGTAAACAGGCTCAATCTCCCTCACGACACACCCTTGGCCTCTCAATATCTCCCTGTGCTCCTCAGGCACATCTGGAAGCACCGCCACCACCAAAGGATGCACACTCTTCACCTTCCTCAGCCCCTTCGCCAGCCCTACCACTCCCTTCACATAGTCCCCATTCCCTGCAAGAAACGTCACGTACGCTCCTTTCTGTTTCCCGTTAACGCCTACAGACAGTTGCTTCGCTCCTGCGCATGGAGAAGCAAAGGCCTCTATAGGTGCACCGGGTGCCATGAGAGAAGTCGCGGAGCAAACTATAGTGTTTGTTCAGGTAGCAGCACTTACTGTGTAAGCTGCTGCCACCTCTAAATTAACTTCACTACTCTTAGTAAAGTTTGTTTTGCCCGAGAGATGAAGGTGGGGCTACTGCCAGTATAAGTAGACACAAAATGAGAGAGTGAAATGAAAGTATACAAGGGTGTACGTATTTTTGTGGTGGTGATCAAGCGAAGATGAATGATTGAGGTTAAGCTTGCTGAGTATCATCTTATCAACAGAATGCACGGCTCGGATGGTTTGGTTCTTGTCCTTTTCATGTGTGTCACTGTTGAGTTCTTGTTTTCTTCGTGCGCTGTAGCTAAAACAAATAAACATTAATCTTGTGAAGACTTAATAGGAACAGAACATTAATTAATTTTGTGACTACTTAATAGGGAACAAACATTCAAGGTAAGAAGGACTACACTTCAGCTATGAGAGACGTATATCCATGTTTAGCATACCTCATTAGCCTGCTAGGTTCTGGATAACAAAACTTAATAAGTTAGTATGTCTCTTCCTCTGCCACAACCCCGTCTTATTTCTCGAAACGGTTTATAGCTCAATGGATAAAAAAAATGCTAACGAAATATCAAGAATATCTAAGACATATTGATGTTAGTGTCACAATATTTATGTTAATGGAATCATGCAATATAGCCGGTCACTGAAAACATAAACTTACAAAAAAATTGACAATAATTAATGTACGCTTACATGCTAATATTTAAACACGAAAAACACATCTTTTCTCCTGTGTGCTCCTTTTCCCCTCTCTCAAACCCTAGTTCTTTTCTTTGGCAATTTTGAGGGATTTCGGAGGATTTTTCAGCGGGTTTTGTGCAGTGCAGCGAAGGGGATTGGTTCTCTTTCACGTGACAGGAGTTTTTCAGCATCTGAGGCGAGTAACATCTCGCACAACTCTGCACCCTTTTATTTTTGCACATTTTATTAAGTTTTATTCAGATTTTTTGAGCCTAAAACGTATTTTTAGTATACAAAAGATAGATCTTTATAACTTATGAAGTGGGAATACATTATCATAATTTTCTAATTGATTACAATAGTAACCTTAACAAATTTCAGATCTGAAATTTATTAATCATGAATTAAATCACAAGTTTTTGCTTTTAAAACGTTTAAACATGTGTATATAAATGTTTAGGATTTCGACGATATATTTACATGCTAATATTTCGTTTCATGTTGTTTCATATATGTTGATATCAGTAATATTATACTTGAAAAATAATGATGTCACTTCTAGATATGTTTCGAAGCAGACAGAAACCTGTGAAGGGTTTCTGCCTGTTTCGGTAGATCACCGGCACAGTTTGTGCATGTTTATTTTTGTTGTGTGCTTTAATGTGAACGATGAGTCACCTCGAATATTTGGCATTATAAATTATTATTTATTATGTATCTTCATATGTGAGATGGCTTGCGGACATGAGTTTAGATTTGCACACCGAGACACGTGTAAAATTAGTGTATATGCATCCTTTTCATATATCTCATCGATATTCTACACATTTCATTCAGTGCATGTGTTGGGCAATTATTATGTGCAGTCCATGTGTTGGATATTCATCATATTCAGTCCGTGTGTTGGACATTCATCGTTCAGTCCATGTGTTGGACAATTTATATATGCAGTCCATGTGTTGGGCATCCACTACACCTAGTCTTAGTCTATATGTTGGACACATGTTTAAACCTTGAGTATGACACTTACACTTACATAGGCTGGACATAACACTTCTGTGGGTTTTCACATGACATGGTATTTGAGTTCTGAGATGGGTTAGTCTTTTTTATATTATTGTTCATGTATTAGATCTTGGGTTTGGTATTTAGAGATTTATAATTTAAGATACAAGGTATATACATGAGGGTTTCCTAGTTTGGATTATTTCGCTCGACGTACCTATGCTCGTATTGTAATTTCCTAAATACTAAAATCCTCTTATTGTTAGGATCAATGATTTCATGTATATATATATATTAACTGTATTTTCTATATGCAATGAGTCCTCTCCCTTGGGGTTGGTTGTGATGTTGCTCGCTAGCGCTTTAACGCTCATTGTCTCCTCCCATTTCAGGTAACGAGCCAGGTGTACGGAGAATCGTAGGTTGATGGCGATATTTATTAGCGTCTATCTTTTATTTGTAGTTTTATTTTATTTATGGAGCTCCACTGTAGACATTTTGTTTAGACATTTGAGAGTTATGTTCTAGAAGTTGTAAAGGTTATGTGCCTTATTTCTTTTTATCAAATATTATGTATTTGAGACTTGTTGAGATCTCCAGACTAGTTATTTTAGAGATTCATTTTTTATTTTTGTATGTTGGATGATGAAATATCATTTTTATCTCTATTATTTCATCATATATCTCTTGTATTATCTTTTACTTGCTTTTGTACCTACACCTGTTATTGACTCTACTAAAGAGATAGTAATTATGATGGTAAAATATGTTATTGCACGGTGTGATGCATGGCAGATTTAACATTCCTGGTTTTACCTCGAACTGCAGCCTTGTGTGAACCAAGTGGCATCACAGTCTTGTGAGATACCATATGAATTAAGTGGATCCAAGAGTACGTATTATTTAATTAAAGCACCATGATCTTTTGCATTCTTCAGCTATTAAGAGCGTCGAGAAATTGCGATTGCAAGAGTGTCTTCATGGTTAGAGATCTATTACTGCACACTTGGTGTGATATGGATGTTTGTGATCAAAGAACTACAGTGGGTGCTTAGTTGGGGTTAGAATTAAAATATCCTATGTATTATCACATGCTGTTTGAATCAGCTTGATGTGCTTTGGTAGTCAGTACGCAGTGTGGAATGAGAAAACGACGAAGGAATTGAGTAAATTAATTAAGAAAAACGTAAAAAATAAGCAAGACAAACTCCACCACACCCTGGTGTGGTGTCTGCCACACCCAGGTGGCAGGGTGTGACAGAATCTGCCCTGTTTGTCATGGGTGTAGTGTCTGTCATACCTAGTGTGGCAAAATATGTCCTGTTTGTCATGGGTGTGGTGTGTGCCACACCGACAAACAGGACAGATTCTGGTATACCAGGGTGTGGCAGACTCGTTTTAGAATCCTAATCTGTTTGGGATTTTATTCTGTTATAAATAGAGCCACGTTTTTTAGGGTTTTCAATAGATTGATTGGGTAGCTTGAAAGTGATTTTGAGCATAGAATAGATAGATCTTTCTGAGCAATTATTTTGAGGGTTTAGTTTGAGAGATTTGAGAGATTTATTTGAGAGGTTAGTTGAGTAATATTGTAATCTCTATTTTGTACTCTCTTTCTCTATAGTAGAACCTCATCCCTTTTTGTCCCGGGGACGTAGGTAATTTGTCGAACCACGTTAAACTTTTGTATTTGAGTTGGTACCGTATTTTAGATTGTTTTGACTTTCTCTCTCGGCGTTTGTGTTTGCTCCGCTACGCACAACAAATGGTATCAGAGCTTGGGCTACGCTTGGGTTAATTGGATGAGTAGATCTCTTTGGAAGTTCGTCTAGAGCTTCGGTTGGTGACAAAGGAGGGGTTTTTCCTATTTGTGGATCTCCTTTCCGTCGTGTGGGGTTAGATCTTTCAGAGGCTCTTGCTAGGGTTTCAATTGGAGGTAAAAATCTCTCCTTTATCAGTTTGGATCTATTCTTCATTTGTTCCGCATTGGTTTGTTAGTGCTTTGAGAATTATGACTGAGAAAGAAGGATTTAAGGCTAGGATATTTGATTATTGATATGGTGCATTAGATTATTGAGAAGTGCATTGACCTACATATTGAAGTCCTTTGAGCACATTGGTATGAGCAAGAAGACCGAGGTGGAGTTTGGCACTTCTATTCATCGAAGTCCTTTGAGCACATTGGTATGAGCAAGAAGACCGAGGTGGAGTTTGGCACTTCTATTCATCGATCGAGGGGTCTTTTAGGTGGTGTTTATGAGCAAGAAGACCGAGGTGGAGTTTGGCACTTCTATTCATCGATCGAGGGGTCTTTTAGGTGGTGTTTATTTAGGCATTTGGGGGCCTTCTAAAAAGGCATCATTGGGAGGTAATCGGTATTTGGTTTCTACAGTTGGGGACTGTTCTAGGCATTTGTGGGTTGCAACCAAGTCCCGTTTGTATGAAGTCCTAGTAGTCAACAACAGATGAAGGAAGTGTATTAGCAGAAAGGTAACCCGTTGTTTTGTTTTTGGTAGGGATTCTTTCTTGCGTTTGTGCCGAGCTCACGGTAATTTGAGACACTTCATTGGAGATAAAACATTAGAGCGACGAGATAAGATGACAATTTTGATGAGTCGTTCCTTGCTGGAGGAGGATCGGTGTTGGTTGTCGAGCATTGGATTGCAGAGGAGTTTTGGAGATTCGATATATTTGGGTCATCTTAGTCATAGGTTGCTGACTGCTGCGTGTAGAGATTTTGGATCAGGTAGAGTTGTTTCAGTTTTTGGGTTGCATATTTGGGTCATCTTAGTCATAGGTTGCTGACTGCTACGTGTGAAGATTTTGGATCTGGTAGAGCTGCTTCAGATTTTTGGTTACGTTGGATGTTTGGTTACCCAGCATTTGGTCACATCGAGGATGTGAGATTTGATCTGATTGCACATTTGGGATTCAGAGACTCGTTTGGTTATCAGTTGGGAGACTCTGATTTTGTTCTGAGCAGGTATGTCACTTTTGACTCTCAGCAGGTAGAGAATGTTGATCAGATAGTTGGGATATTACAGCGGGTGGAAGGTGATGCTACTCCACGTTGGATGAAGATTACTCCACATACTCCAGATCATACTGTAGTGTTTGGGATTCCAGCTGAGGTGATATAGTTTGGGGATCATTTGGATTTGGATGCAGATGATGAGTTGGTTTTGGATTCGAGTGCAGTTGGTGGACATAGTTCACATTTGGTTATGGCCATTAGTTCATCTTAGGTGGAGGTATTTGGATTGTTTCACTTTGGAGTCATTAGAAGAGCTATCAACCGCAGATTTGGTGATGATGTTGGAGAAGGGTTACGAACTCTTCTATTTGATTGAGGGTCTTTGGAGGCCATTTGATGAACTACGGATGACTTG